GTTAAATTGGAAAAAACATGACCAAAAAAATCTACTAATTTGTTCTGCAAACAGACTAAGAACAAATAAAAGATAAGTAACACTCTTCACTCGCTACTAGACTTCACTTACAGTAAAGCACTCCTACATGCACTTGAATTTCTGTCTGGAACGCATCTGTTATCACCAGTCACAGTCAGCACAACAAAAGGCACCCCCTCTTTTATAAAGCTTGACTTCTCTGTAAATCCCTTCATTACCAAAGCCTGATCTATGCCTAAAATTTGATAAATCAGTTCAAAGTATGAGAAAAGCATCAAGACACACCCTAACTAAGCTAGGGTCGTCACTACTGAAGCAGCAACAAGTGAATTTCACAAGCTTGGATATCAGTATTTTTGGTACAGGTCTGTAAATGAATTAACACTAAGGACACCTCTCGTAGGAAATGCTGACACTGCATAAGCAAACTACTGGTAGTGTAAGCAGGACTGGATCTGGAGTAGTTGTACAAGACGGGCAATTACTGTTGCAAACATCCTAGAAGACACCAGACAGTGCTCTAAAAACATGTCACTTATTTACAATCAAGGTTCTAATTTAGAGTTCATGCTACTTACTAGGCAGTATGTAACCAGGTGATTAGACTGTTACAGAGCATTCCACACAGGAGTGACAAAAAGGTTAATACTTAAAAGCAAATCCACACAACCTCCAGATCATCCTTGACTGTAATGTTTGACCTGGATGCACAATTTGGCAACAGAGAAGCTCAGACTTCAGCAATTATTGCAAACAAATGTTAATTTGATATTTAGTATGCATGACTTAAAAATGGAAGCTGGCTATTTGCACAAGGGCTCCTCTTCAACAGAATGGTTAAGGAAAACCTTTAGGCTACTTAAATGGAGCCTGAATTTTCTTGAGTAAAAGCTGAAACAAACTTTTCTGTGTAACTAGAAAATTGAAAATATCATGTTCCAAGCATACCTTTACTCCAACTCCACCATTCTTCATAGGAACCAAATCATAACTCAACTTTTCCTTTTCCTTCTGAACGAACGGATCATTAAATGCACGGCCATGGAATCTCTTGAAGTTAGATACTGTGTTATGGGCATGAGTGATTTGCTGTAAAGAAATACAAGACATTTACAAATCTATCCTTCATCAACCTGCAGTGTTCAGTGTTGCCCTGTATGCCCCAAGCATCAGTCACTATTCAATAAAACCGCTCATTTACTTGTCACATTTGTTACTATAATACCTGTAATTACTATCTGGTATTTTATAACAGCTCATCACTACAAAAAAAATTGGGTAAGAGAGCTACATGTCACAGAAGAGTATACATTAAGTACAGGCAGCACTATATGAGCATCTCTAAAACCTCCAAGCAATCAGGTGAGTAATATCACAGAATGGCCTGGGTTGGAAGGGACCACAAGGATCATGAATCTCCAACCCCCCTGCCACATGCAGGGACATCAACCTCCACATTTAATACTAGACCAGGCTGCCCAGGGCCCCATCCAACCTGGCCCTGAACACTTCCAGGGACGGGGCATCCACAACCTCTCTGGGCAGCCTGTTCCAGCACCTCACCACTCTCTCTGTAAAGAGCTTCCCCTGGTATCCAACCTAAATCTTCCCTCCCTCAACTTCAAACCATTTGCCCTTGTCCTGCCATAATATGATTTACAGTGCCTACTACTTTACTCATCTAATCTAGATGTGATTCAACTAATTAAAAGCTTCTTTTTCAGGTGTTTGCCAGGCCTGTAACTAGCACTCAATTCACCAGTAACCTCATCACCCCCAAGGCTTCACTTGAAGCACCACAATGAGCACGCACACACATACACACACCTGAATCTAGTTATCGGCATTCTAATCTAGTTATTGGCATTAGACTTCCCATTCATTTCAATACTTTTTCCCTGAGCTACTCTTAAAGAGGGCGAGCTGCCTCCTTGTGCTCACCTAGCAGTCACTCCAGTTCTTTACACCAGACCAAAAGGCACAAACAGCAGAGAGAAGCATGACATTACTTTGGTACCAGTTAGCTTGAAGTATATACTGAACTGCAGCACAAGAACCCCACAGAACCAAATGATCAAAGAGAAACATTATTAGGACTGCAATGCAGAACAGAAAGCAGACAGCTAGGCTATCCTAAAAGAGGTACAACAAGTATCTCAAAGTAGAATGAAACCTATCTGTTGGAGAGAAGCTGTGGAAGTAACTTTAGGCAGGCACCAACAGATTAAATGGTATTAAGTCAAATGATGAACATACTGAGGAACAACATGGAAGCAAAAATAATTTTTACGTAGCTGGCAGAGAAGCACAAACACTCTGGTGGCTTTTACGGCCTAATTTAGAATAACACTCACAGTCTCTTCCAAGGAACAATCTTCAGATATTTTTAGAGTAATTGTATGCCATTAGATCTGCAGCACATTTCAATATCTTCCTGCTTAGTCACAATTAAGGAAGCAGAGAATTATGGTCTGTTAACTAATAAACTGCTCTCATCTCCAGGCTACCAGGGTTACCTAAGGAAATAGACTCTCTGAAGATATACTCCAGCAGCAGCTCTCCAGGTCTCGAAGGACATCGACCCTGAGTACGATCATAAGCTCCTGCATACAGTCACATTGTTGACTGGTGAGTTTTTCACTTTATAAAAAAGTTCTTAATAAGTAACTTCAAATGAAACGGATGGTTGTACTCCTTCATTTAAGCATCTGCTACACTCTAAGGCACAGAAAACATAACTCAAGTTTTTCCACGTGAAGGAACTTCCACATCCAAGAAAGAAACAATGTGCCTGACGGGCAGTCAGCCAAAATGAACTGCCTCAGCAAGAGGAACAAATGCTCTGCATCTTTTAGCATTTAATGTACCACATGCTTTTCTTTTCTTGCAAAAACCATTCAGTTTCAACTGGTAGACAACCAAGCACAGAAGATGTAATATATCCACATAACCTAATGGTTGCTTCAAGTCATCTGAACTCACTGGCATTCATCCCAAACACAGTCCTTTAAACACAATTTCATACGTCACAATCTTTTTTCCTTTCAGCGTGCTTCAAGTTCTAGCATTTCATCAGCAAACAATACTAAGATACTCTCAAGAGCTTCCACATAGGATTTAGATCACTTCTATTTTGATAAATAACTCATTTTTGCACACAAGTGAATGTTGTTAGTTTCTGAATAAAAGCACATAGTAAGAAAACAAAAGAGATGCGAAAATGAAGTTTCTCTAAAGAAGGAACACAAATGCATGTAATGACTGTACTACTTCAAATATTAACCTTGAACCGAAGGAGTACATGTATTTGTGAATGTGTAAGCTATTCATATTCCCTCAGCTTCCAAAACTAAGGGAACTGTTACAGAGAAGGAAGTCTCTTCCAATGCGCTCTCCATGGAAACACACTGCAGTCCTTTCACCACAGATCTGCACAGCCCAGCAGAGCTGCAGGCTCCTCAGTCCCTTACCAGCTGTGGTTATGCAACAGATACAAGGCTTGACAATACCTGAGGATTTGTTTAACATCTATATTTAGCTATTCTGAAATGCTAAGAGGAGAGCTTAATTCTTGCGCATGAAAATACTACTTCAGTGAAGAAAACACTCAATGTTTCTTTATGTACCTATCAAACTGCTCAAGCAATAAAACCAAGTTATTTATACTATAAATGTTAAGCTTTTGAAAAATACACAGGCATTTATCTTCCAGCAAAAGCAAAGGCAGTGAGGTAGCTACACTGCTTTAGGAAACCTCAACTAACATTTCTCTTTCCCATCTAATTTTAAGCACCTCTACACAGCATTCAAACATTTTCCTTCAGATGCAGGAGAAAGCTATGGAGAAGCACCAAGAACACAAACCCGATGTTTAGGCCATCAAGAAAGGAGCGTGTTCTACTGGAAAATATCACCATTAAAGAAACAGCGAGCAGGGAAGTTCCAGCAGAACCACCCGCGTTCCTCCGAAAGCAGCGCAGCACTACAGCACATCATTTTTCTACCGTACAACACCCCGAGTTCAAAAGGACCCGTAGGGATCCTCCGACAGGTGTACCAACAACAGTTACCCGTTCCAACTCCAGCCCAGCGGCTCTCCACGCACCCCCGGCACCTGAGCCGCCGGGCCATCAGCCTCCCAATCACAGCCACCTATAAGGAACCCACCTGGTTTTTGGCCGAGACGCCGATAGCTCTGTTTTTGGAGCCGAACGAGACCACCGACCTGCAAAGCACAAGGGACTGCTGAGCGCGGCGTTGACGGCAGACTGCCCGCGTTCCAGCGGTGGCGGAGCTCCACCATCCCCCCCTCCAGCCCCGTTACCCTCCGCACAGCGTGGCCGTCCCGCTGGTACCGCCGCTCTCGGCCCCGAACTCCGAGCGGCAGACGCCCAGTTTCCATCCAAACCGCCCCGCTTCCGAGCTGCCTTTATTAAAGCCAGCTAAGTAATTTGAACGGCCGCACACCCCGAACCACGGAAAGGCGGCGGCCCCCCCGGAGCTCCCGCCCCGGTCCCCTCACTCACGGCGTGCAGCGGTCGCTGAACTCGTTGGCCACCGTCTCGATGCCGCCGGCCCGCGCCACTGCAATGTAGCAGCTCTGGAAACCCAAATCAAAGCCCACCACGGCCATGGCCGCCCCACCGCCGCGAACAGGCCCCCCCCCACCCGACCCACTGCCGGCACCACCGCCCCGGTCCCGCTGCCGGCGGATGGGCGCGCAGAGGCGGGCAGCCGGCGCCGCCGCTTTAAATATGACAATGAGGCGAAGTTTCCAGAAACTGCGGCAACCACTCACCGGCTCCACGTGCGGCTTCCGCTTCCGCCTTCGGCAGCGTTCTCGAACAATTCCGACCAATCAGCGGCGCCGGGGCCCCGTGACGTCAGCTGTTCTCATAGCGACTGCCGACGCCACCGACTCAGAAAGGAGAACGAGGAGAGGAGGCGGGAAAGGGGCGTGGCCACGCGGAAGGGGCGTGGCCAGATGTGAGAGGCGGGCGATAGGGAGCGCGGGCTGGGCGCGTTTCGCGGCTGTTGGGCGCGGCGGTTAATGGCTGTTGGGTGCGTGAGAGGAGAGCGTTTGTTGCTGCTCGCGTGGGTGCTGAGGCGCTGTTGTGCTGTGGGGGGCGCGAGCATTGGGCTGGCTCGGACTGGCGGGGGGAGGGCTGCCCTCGTTCCCATAACGGCGGTCCGCTGGGGTTTTAAGGGCATCACTAGGTGCGTTCCTGTGCTCGGCTCTCGGAGGGGTCTGTACCTTGCTGAGCCTGTATGTGTGGGAGAGGGGAAGAAAAGAGGTTGGCTGAAACAAAGTCCTTGTTGTAGCTCACTGGGAAGCTTATTTTTGTACAGCTGGGGATGCCTAATGATAGGTGTTTCCCCTCCTTGCTGCTAGAAAACTCTCAGGAATAGTCAAAAGTGGCAGAGCAGGTTAGGTGTGTGTGCTGCATCGCTTGCCCTGTTAAAAGAGGGTTTTATCTGTCTAGTGCCACGTCCTGCTGCAGATGAAGGTCTGCTATGTGCTGAGCTTGGGCTGTGTGTTCTGGGCGGGTCCCAGCCTCCAGCATTGCCCGTGGAAACACAGTGGGTATGCAGGTGAGATGTGTACTGTCAGCGTGCCTCCCTTACCTCCCTGTGCCAAAGGGAGAAGTGGGTGCATTCAGGGTTCTCAGTCCTCCTCTGTCAGAGGGGAAAGCAGTATTTTCACAGAATCACAGAATTGTAGGGGTTGGAAGGGACCTCCAGAGATCATCGAGTCCAACCCCCCCTGCCAAAGCAGGTTCCCTACACCAGGTCGCACAGGTAGGCATCCAGGCAGGTCTTGAACATCTCCAGAGAAGGAGATGTTTTGACCCTGCTTCCTTTCTGCTGTGCTGTAGCAACCTGTCTCTGCTGAAGATTTGCTTCCTAACGGAGTAATGCTCAGTTTTCTGTCAGGCCTCAGCCTTTCTTGAGTGTATTATTTGTGAGTTTTTTTTAGTCCACTAAAAATAATGCTTCTGTCAGAGGAGGTAGAGAGCTGAAAATCCTCTCGGGCTGTTTTGTGGCTGTTAGCTGAGGCTGTAATTTCTAACTTCAGAATAAGCTGACAGGATGGCCAAACCCCGAGTGCCTGTTCCTGATGCTGCTGCACTTGCTATTTTCAGCAAGAAGGTAGATTTCTTCAAAGTATTTCATTTGCTTAAATAACCTACTTTTTATTGGATAGCATGGAAATGCTGAAAACACTTCTGTCTTCCTCACAAATGTACTAATTCCTTGAATTTGTATGTTCTTGAATCCTGGATTGTACTTCTTTAGGGCTGGGTGAAAATCCAGTCATGTTATTAATAATTCATCTGTACATCAGCCACAGCCCTATCTGGCAAGAAGCTGTGTGCTAGTATTTTGAGTGATTGTTTTGAAAATCCTGCTGTGGTGAATGATAAACATACAGCATAACCACTAGTTTAAGCGTCGCCATAGATGAAAAAAGTAGATACCAAACATTCCTTTTGCTTTTTCATCCTTTGCTGTAAATTGTTTATCCTTGAAGAGAAATACGAAAATCTTGACTGTTTGCCCAGATTTGCAGCTGGTCTCTAAAGGGAGAAAAATGTTAAGCTCAACAGTGAATTTGGAAGTTGCTGGCACCATCTATCTATCCGATGGCTTAGCGCAGTGCTGTGTGGTGCAATAAGCGAGCTTCGGCTTCAGTGTGTTGGGATGCCAGTAAAAGAATGAAGTTTTTCTTGGCCTGGAGCAGAAGTGTGTATTGACACAGTCTTGGTATCTGTGCTGCTATAGAAGGGTGAGTGGTGCTGGGAAAGTAGGGGGGGATGTAAGAGGTGACCAAAACCTTAGTTCTTTCTTTTTCTTATGTGATTGTCTCCCCTTCCTACCTAGAGATAGTATGGGTTATGTAAGGACACTTTAACTGCCCTGGGGTAGGGGAGGATAATGCTGTAGTTAATTTTCTTTGGGGCTTACTTTTGTTGCAATGCTTGTGAGTTTAGGAACTGAGAATAACCAATGCTATGCCTTCTCTTTGTTAGATCAGCACTTGCTAAATGGCTGTGGGCTGGACGAGGAACATGCTTTACTGTTGTCCCCTGTTGTACCTCCAAAGCAAACTGGCATCGTAATGCTGCTGGAAGAGAAAGCTCCTGCTGTTGATATTATTGTTCAGTGAGACCTCGGACTCATACACATGGATACTCTGTCTGTATGTCAACCCTTGTGCTTTTGCAGTGTGCTAGCTTTTGCAGCTCGCTAGCAGACTATGGAAGTTGCTGACCAATGTTTTCATCTTTTAAAGGATGCCTTGCACAGACAGAATATTTTGGTAGGCTGATCAACATTCGTTTTACCTACGTAGATGCTTGGCTTATGGTAAGTGAGGTGAGTGGCTTGGTGAGTGTGGTATGTATTGTGGATTTTCCTTTGTTCCTCAGTTGTGTAGGTGCTCTTGTGGCTGTAACAGTTAAGGGTTTCTTTAAACATGTCCACACTCTAACTTGGAAAAAAACAATCTGGTCTTCATCAGCAGCGCAGACAATGTTTTAAAATAGTAGTTGATCAGGCCTTTAAAGAATTATTTTTGTATTCCATGCTGGATGTTCTGTGTTGTGGCATCTACCAGAACTAAAGGCACTGATGTGTGTTAAGAAACAGAATCTGATTTGGGAACAAGGTGATTTCATCTGTTACACAAGACCTAATGTTGGTAAACTTTCTTGTGTAGTTAGAATGACGTTACTGTATATACAAGGAATATTTCCATTATAAAGCATTACTCAAAGAAGACTAGCTAATGACCCTGTGGATGGCCAAAGTGCCACAGAACACAACACAGGAATCTGTTGAGTTCCTAGGATTTCTGCTGTGTTTCCAAGGGCCCAAAAAACTGAGGTGTACAAAGAGCAATGCCTTTACTGTCCCAGTACTGTTCCGTACATAATCTTCATATCTTAAATAAAACAGAAGACAGGAAAGGCCGTCCCAGCACAGGCAGGCAACATCTATACTTTCCACTAGAAGTAAAGAGGTATATCTGTATCATTTCTGTAGGGATTTCTTGTTTGTTTCACTTTCCATTTGTGGGCTGAGCTTGCCTCCAGCCCATGCTATTTCATTCTAATCTATTTGGAGGCTGCCTGCCCCAGCTTTACCATGGCTGTATCTGCAAGCAGTTGGCTCCTATGATAGTACTCAATGGACTTGCTGGTCAGTCTGAGCTTCTGCACCATTTCCATCTCTGTCCTTCAGAGAAGGCCTTTAATGCGAACCTGATGAGATGAGGGTTCTTTTCCTCTTGGGAGCAAAGTTGAGTTTTAAAAGGGTAAAGGTTACTTGAGATCATTACTTCTGCCAGAGACAAGCTGGTATTCCTATAAGGTCGTGGTTCTCCAGAAGTATGACATAGATACAGTAATTTCCCTTCCTGTACAATGCTGTGCTGCAGCTCTTTTTAACATTTCTTTTCATGTCACTGTGTTAATGGTGTTTGATATTCACTTTCATGTACATAAACACTTTGCAACTTGAGTGGAACAGATGAAAGTAATAAGTAAAATGCCGTGGGGATTTGCAAGCACATACATTTTCATATCAATATTACATTATAACATGAAATATATATGTATATTATTATATCATATACTCTGTACTAGGAAATGCCAAACATTAATTCAACTATATGAAGCAATAAGTAACCTATTATGCTTGTAAATAGCTAAGTGTTTTCATTTGGCCTTTTGCCTCTTCTGTATGTGAAGTATTCATGATAGTGTTCAGTTGCATTATCTTTGTTAATGCTTTGATCCACATACTTATGCTGGAGAAAGAAAGAATGAAGCAGATATGTCACCGAGGTGACAGTGTAATCAGCTTAAGGCACAGCCACCAATGGGTACTACCTTCTCAAGGCTGACAGCTGAGCTGCATTCCTCAGAGCATCCCTAGTGTGGGGAATATCCAATTCAAACAAAATGTCCAGCTTCTGGAGTAAGGTAAATAAACTTCACTGGAAACTCATGTGACTCCATGGCTCTGCCCACGTTTCAGCATACTTTAACACACAGCATAGCATGGATCCAAATCCCAGTGTAACCAAGGGGGTGATGCTTTATCTTCCTGACGCTCTGGGTGAGGTTTTAACACAAGAACAGCTTTATAGTCAGAATACACGGCTTTCTGTGATCTTTTCTTTTTCCCCTCAGTAAAACTTGGGTTAAAATGGAGCAGGCCTTTCTTCTGAGATCAATGTGAATGCTTTAAAACTGAAGTGATTGTAAATGTTTCATTTGATTGCTGGGAAACTACCATTAATGTCTCTTTGGATTTTTAAACAGTGAACCTAAAGAATGCAATGAAGGAGAAGGTAAATTAAAAGTTATAGTACCAAGGTTATTGTAAACTTTTCAGTCTTATTTATATATATATATAGATGTTTTTGTAGATATTTTCACTTATTCAACTGGATTGTCACAATGGAAAACGTGGAAACTTCAGGAAAAAGAACAATGAAACTATTTGCTTTGAACTTCAAACTTACTACAGTGTGGTAAGTGAATGCTTGAAGCTATACAATTGGGTTCAAAAGCATTCAAATAATAATAAGCCTTAAGTATTCATGAATCTCAAATACATTAACTTGAGTGATTGTCTGTTTGCATTGCCCTCATAATCTTTTATTTTCCTGTTGCTCGGACACAGTAAGTGTTTTGAGTGAGAGAGAAGATGATCAGATTATGGTGCAAAACAAATTTCATGTAGTGACCAGCTGCACATCACTAATGGGAAGGAGTGAAGTGTTGAACAGTTTTTATGTAAATACAGAAATGGATTGCATAAGCTCTCTTGTGTCTAAATGCAATTAATAAATGCTTTTGGAAATGTAAAAAAGATCGCAAAGCCAAGAGTCAGTGTGGATTGAAAACACCAAAGTTTCTGTCAACCACTCAGGAACTGAATGTTATTTCAAAAAATAGAAATGAAAGTGGATATAATGACAATTTGGGAGGGATGTTAATGAAGAAAAAGAAGCCAAGTTACTTACTTGATCTGATAGCAAACTATTACTACTTGATCTGATTGCAAACCATCTGGCAATATGCTGCCAAATCATTATGTATCCTTTGTATGACTCAGTGCTAATGAGCTGTGCAGGGATTATGCAGATTTCTTGTGCTTTTGGCTTTGGTAGAAGGTTTTAAAAATAACACTTGCAATATTAGTATGACATGTACTTGCTATGAATTTCTGACATTAATCCAAACTTTGTTTTTTCATTAGAAAATACCCCAACCACTTCAAAGGCAGTCCAAATTTTGATTTTTATGTGAACAAAAACAAGAAAACAGACAAATACCAGTATTCTTTATACTAACAAACAAAGTTAGTATAAGTAGTTAATTTTTCTGTTTTTTTAAGAGCTTACTGAACACATACTAAGTGGTGCAGAAGGGTAGATAACAAGGTACAACTACACTACAGTTTACAGTAAGCATGCTTGGAAAAAACATGTCTTTACTGCATCTGTAGTTAATCTTTCTGTGTAATAATCTTTCAAAGTGTGTGGGCATAGTACTGTGTGTGTCTACACTTAGACAAGTCCAACATTTTAATATATTTTTTTCCTAAGAATACACTATTAGATAGGCTATTTCTTTGCTGTCATTGTAACAAAGCATTGTAACAAATTTGTCATGAAGAAATGGACTACTGGAAGGTTTTCTTCCAGCATTTGTAGCATGTCTATGGCTATACTTAGAATATATACTTAGTCATATTCATAATGGCTAATTTATTCTATCTTAAGCATTCTATCACAGAAAACTGTTAGTATATTTCAAGAATCAACTCTTTGATAGGGTAGATAACAGCAGGACAAGGGGAAATGGTTTTAAGCTGAGGGAGGGAAGATTTAGGTTGGATGCCAGGGGGAAGTCCTTTACTATGAAAGTGGTGAGGTGCTGGAACAGGCTGCCCAGAGGGGTTGTGGAATGCCCCATGCCTGGAGGTGTTCAGGGCCAGGTTGGATGAGGCCCTGGGCAGCCTGGTCTAGTATTAAATGGGGAGGTTGGTGGCCCTGCATGTGGCAGGGGGGTTGGAGATTCATGATCCTTGAGGTCCCTTCCAACCTGGGCCATTCTGTGATTCATTGAATTTAAAACTTCAAATTGTCCTTATTTAAAAAATCCACTGAGTATTATGTATTGAAAGTTAAAAATCAGCACACTGAATAAATACTCTAACAGCTCTGACTGCTTTATTCCTCCATCAGAAAGATCTCGAAGGTGGTACATCCAGGACTTATGAAAATGATTTATTTATTTTTAATAGAATATGCTTGACTAAGAAATACTGAGTATATTCTGGACATCAAGAGGCTATCAAGGAGCTTCTTTATATGTTAAGTGAACAGAAGATTCAGTTATGAATCTGTGGTAAAGAGAAAGTAATAAATCCTTAGCTGTCAGAACGACTAGTAAGCATGAATGAAGTAATATTGGAGTTGGTCTCCTCTCACTGGTGACGGGTGATAGGATGAGGGGGAATGACCTCAAATTGCACCAGGGTAAGTTTAGGTTGGACATCAGGAAACAATTCTTTACGGAAGGGGTTGTGAAGCACTGGCATAGGCTGCCCGGGGAGGAGGTTGAGGTCACCATCCCTGGCTGTGTTTAAAAATCGCTTGGATGTGGTGCTCAGGGACGTGATTTAGCAGAGGGTTGTTAGGGTAGGATGGTTAGGTTGTGGTTGGACTTGATGATCTTTAAGTTCTTTTCCAACCTGAGCAATTGTATGATTTTGTGATTCTATTTGAAAAACTTCATCAGATCATCATACTAGAAATACAGATCTTAGAACAAGACTATTTCATATGATCTGGATGCTTATGTAAATATGATTTGTTACATGCAGTTTCTTGTATTTACTTTTACAGGTGATTTTTATGAAGATAGTTATGAAGATAGAGCAAAATTCAAAATGCAAGTGAGATGAATGCGTTTAACTCTCATTGATGATCTCCTGGTAGACTTTTCCAAAACAATAAACTCATCTGAATCTTTATAGTTATGGATGGCTGTCTTCCTTAAAATAAATAAATAATCCTTTGAGCATCGGTTGAATTCATGATTCAGTGGATGAAATATGGATTGTCATGCAAGAGATCTGATTTTCATAGTGTCACGTTAAAGTGCCTACAGTGTTTGGAACATGCTGAGAGATTCAAATTCTGTGAGCTCAAAAGGTGATGAAACTAAAGCAACAATGAACATAGGCAATGCTGGTGAATGGGTTTTGACAGCTTGTCTGACTCTACCCGAGCTATGCTAGTCTCATTTTACAGAGAATTCTAGCTGGGACAAAAGAAATATGAAATATTTGGCCCTTTCTGAAATTTACCACACTTACCAATCTTACTTGTAAGTCAGGCATGATGTACAGGAATGATTATTAGTAAGCATTTCGTAGTTTTGTTTGGTTTTCCCTTTCTCTCAAATCAGTAAACAACCTTGTCTATAGCTTGTGGACATTGGGGGGCACTATAGCCTCACTAAACAATTCAAATGCCTTCTATCTTAAATTTTGCTATGTTGGCTCAGCTTCTTTTCTCCGTGTAGTGTAACTATCTAAGGCAAGTGGAAAAACAAACAAACAAACGAAAAACCCAGAAGTAATAGCTATGTTTCTTTTCCTTCATTTATTTATTTTTGTTAGTAATTGTCTTGCTCTAAATAGCAGTGGATTTCTGACCAAGAACTGATGTTGCTTAGTTTAAGGAACTCTTTGTTTTGAGTGCTAATCTACAGATTCTCTGTGAATCTTTTTACAGCAAATGGGAAAATGTGCTTTGCATCCAATCTGTTTTTGTGTGTTTGTGTCCCAGCCATTTGTAATGAAGTTGTCCACTAATGTAAAAAGCACGTTTTAGACCTGTGTAGTTTATTCTCATTTACTTCAGTTTAAAATGATTTCTGAGTTAAGAAGTGTTTTTCCATTGGTGACATAGCTCACATGGATACTGCTATGTACTTCTGTGAATGAAAAATCTCCTCTAAGTAGTTTACTTTTTAGGACACAATTTAGTCTATCTAATTGGATTTTAATCTTCATGTTACAAAATTTATTACAGATTGGGAGATATTTGTATGTACACCACATTCAAGTTTAATGTATTACTGGTATAAGGTATACAAGTACCTCTTCTAGCTGCAGTATCTGTTTTTTTTTTTTTTTCCTTGGGTTAAATGTATTGTACAGAACAAAATATTCAAATTGTAGATAACTACAAGCATTTTTTATTAGTTTAATTTTGCCAATAGACAGATAATGCCTTTTGAAAACTGACTGGCCACATGGTTTTAACTAGTGTGGGACAGAATAAACAAATAAAAAGGAATACAACATTTGGATTAATCTTTTTTTTTTTTTTCTTCAGTTTATGGCTGTTTTTGAAACAAAAGTGCAGAACTAAGTTTTGCAGTTGTTTCAGAATGTCTAATAGCAGAGCAATGTCCAGTCAGTCTCCAAGCAGTGGCCACAATGGAAATCAGAACCACCTCCTCCTTTTCTTCCTCCAACCCAGATTTTTTTTGTGAAGAATGAGGTTACATGGTATGAAATATCTCCTTGGCCAGTTCAGGTCAGGGTTTGCAGCTGTGCTCCCTCCCAACTTCTTGCTCAGTGTTGGGATGTGCTGGGTGGAAGGATGGCAGCAGATGGGCTCCTATGAAGAAAGTTAACTCCATCCTGGCCAGACCCAGCACACCAAGTCTTTGTGGCTTTTTAGGTAAAATTCAACAAATCAGTTGTTTTCTGTACTCCAGTTACTGGGCTTGACTGTACATGTCATAGGAATTTTCTCATAAATTGTGATTTTTCTTTTGTATTTTTTGTAAATAGCGATTTATGTTAAGTCTTCTTACTACAGTTAAGCAGCATTGCATACTGGCAATGTCCACAAAACAATTTTTTTTTTTCCAGAGTCTTAATTGAGCTTTTTTTTTTTAATTAAATTTAGGACTGTATATTTTATTTCAGTAGGATTTTTTTTATGGTGTTGGCCTCAGTATTCTAAACATCCTTTGACTTTATCTCATCTTTGTCATTTATTTGATGGTGTTGTGCATAAGTGACCCTGCACTTGACATTCTGTGTTTTTTGTGCTTCAGTTCCACCTGGTTTTCTCAATCAAAAGCAGAATGATGTAGGTCTAAGTGAGCGGTTGCTCATGGACATAATCTAAAACAGCTTGAGGCTAAGCTGGTCTGCAGTAACTGTAGTTGCTCTGAAGTGACACCAGACTGTAATGGCTCCTAAGGGCCATTTCATAACTGAAAATTCCTGCAAGGAGTGCTCTGGTTCCTACTGTAAGTTTTGCTCAATAAGTCCCTTATCTGAGTAACTATCCCAGGCCTTGTTTCCCTTTACCTATGTCAGTAGGGTGACACAGATGCTCACCTTAAGTAAATATCAAGATGCAGAAGACCTTTCCAGGTTATTAAAACTATTTCTGTAGCAAAGAAGATGGTTTACTTATGTCAAGGGAAGATTATCAGGTGATGTAAGCCATCAGGATGTAGGTCATGGCTAGCAAACTTAGAATTGCCATGGAGACTTTCAAGGTGAGACTGAATCAGGCCCTGGGCAACCTGGTCTAGCTGTGGTGTGGAATTTTCCTTGCCACAACCTGTGACCACCTATTCTCTTGTGCACTTTTTGAGCAAAATCTCTAGATTTCCAACTAGGTAATTGCAGACAGCAATTAGTCTTACTTTAGTTTTCTTTTTCCCTTGTAGTTTGAACAAACTCTGTTACCTGACTTGCCTGATGCACAGTGTACTCCACGCCCTTAAGCAACTCAGCAGCCATCCATGGATTCACATTGCTTTATTAGCCTGTCTTAAGCTGGTAGGCCCCACATTATACAAAATGCTCTAGATGCTGCCTCCAAATAATGACTAGGGGTACTAATCACTTCTTTGGACCTGATGATTGCACCACTTATCAATGGAGCCTTTCGTACACTCAACCTTCATTACCACACGGAGGCACTGCTCATCATGTCTACAAGGACTCCCATGCCTCTTCCAGCTGAGCTCCGTGGCCAGTCAGACCCAGCCTTCTGGTATTAGATGAGGTTATTCTGACCCAGCTGCAGAATTCTGCATTTGTTTTTCTTGAACTACACAAGGCACTCCGTTTTAAAGCTTGTCTAAGGCCTCTTGAATGGCAGCTTTCTCTCCAGGGTTTTGACTGTTACCCAGCAAACTGAAGGTGCACCCCCTCAGGAATTGTTTGTGACTGGAAAGGCCAGCAGCTGCCTGTGTAGCCCAGAGTTATCAGTGTGAAGGTAACTGCTGTATTTTGTCATTTTATGTGATGCAGCTTCACATACCAGGGCAGAATGTAACACTAGGATGTCACTGTCAAAAGCGCTTCTGAGATCTATGAGGTTTGGACTCCTCCTGTTACCTTACTCTATGTGATAGTAATCCAAAGAAGTGCAGCCGGAATTTGTATTCTGCTAAGATCACCACATGATCTTACTCTACGTGAAAATACTCTACATGGGAAAATATTCCTGGCTGCTAATGATCATGGAAAAATTGTTCTTCTACACGCTGTTCCTCTGTATCAATCCAAGAAACTCAGCAGGTGTTTTAAACTGTATGTGCCAGAATGTTATGAGTGTGTCCGTTCCTATAGAATGACATTGGTACTTAAGTTACTCAACTGGAGATGAGATTCCTCTCAAGTATCATCTCTAGTGTCAAGTTCTTAAGATAAAAATGAAGTATTTATGGAACAGTGTAGCTGCAAAGGTCCATAAGAAAACCATGCCTAACCTAGTTACGCAAAATGTAAAATGCAGTGACTTACCTGCTAGCAAGTAAGCTTTTCCAACCCTGCTTGTTCTGTGGCATGATTATTGTGCACATCCAAGTTGGCTCATAGGAAAGTTATTTCAGTTAAAGAAACTAGCTCCTATATTCCTGCCATTCCTTGTGGTGATCTGAGCAGAATACAAACTCCTGCTGCATTTCTTTGGATTACTATCATTGAAAATCGTGAGATAGACAAACCCCAAAGTCTCTGGCATTATCATCTTGCAGGATGGATTTTTCCTGGACTTAAATCTACTTTGGATATTGCACGCTCTTTGGACATCTCTGGATGTTACTATGCCTGCTTGTCTGTCCTACTGCCAGGAAGTCTTATTATTCTTTTTTTTTGCTGCCATGTTGGAATGGCATAGCAACTCTTGACTTTGTTCCTGAACTGTCATAGTTGGCAGTGCAAAAGTAGTAAAGTAATACAAAAATATGTGGAAGACATCTGTGAAGAGCATGACATGTTGAGGCAGTAATCCCAGTAGCTAATGCAGTTTAGTCAATGCTTGAATGAATACCATTATTTACAGCCCATCAAAATAGCAGAAAAGTTGCTATAAGAATCAGAAGATATTATTTGACTATGTACTGCAACATTCCTTCAGCAATTCACCTTGTTTTCCCCTTTGCCACTACGACTTTGTGCACAGTGGAAACAGGAAGCAATTCTACTCTTTGTTTTCCTGAAGGAATACGAGAAGGGGCGTGTAGTCGATATGGCCACTAAGCTATTCAAAATAAATGGATGCATTCTGTTTCTACGTGGTTTTGCTCACTTAAATCCCCCAATGTTCAACTATATTTTTGCTCTTTCAATTGAAGAAGTAATATTTTTGTATATTAATAAAAAAAAAGATTATCAAGTAATTTAGGACTAATGTTTTCTATTTTCAATAGCTGTACTTCAGCAGGGAAAATACAGTGAGCTCAGATATGCTTGGTACAGGCAATTTTGTGTCAGATGGAAGCAGCAGGAGACAAAATAGGAAAGAGTATGAAGTCTGACAGTTCTGTTAGGCAAGCTGTTCATTTGACCAAAGGAGTGGGCAGTATGCCCATGGCATATAATCAAGGCTGAAAAGCTTCAGTCCTCTATACTTGCCTATGGAATTATTACCCTTGTTTCTCCTTGACTGTGTGCAATATAAAGACAGATGCATAAATCATCTTGCTCTCATCACCCAACAGTCTCAAGAAATCAAAATAATACATTTTCCCCACAATTTTAACATGACAGCAATTTGTCAGCAGATACAGATTCTTAAAGAGTTTATACTATAGCTCTTCAAAAATATTGGACTAAAATAATTTATAATTGAATCATCATGTCAATGTCTTATGGGATAAAAACATTTCAAATAGTTAGTTCTGAAGCTAAGTAAATTTCTAATTAAATTATTCAATTTAAAAAATAATCTTATGAAGTAAAACCAAAGGCAGCAGAGATTCCAAAAGTTGAGGGGTACAGGTGACTGTAGCCAACGTGGTGACTCTGGAGGAAGAATAAAAAAGCCACAGAGCACTTCTGAGGACATTCTGAAATACAGTTA